GAGTCGGTTTGGAAAGACTTCGGGGAATGCGTGGGGGAGCAAGAAGAGGAGGGGGAGGAGGAGGAAAAAAGAGGAGGAGGAGGAGGAGGAGGAGGAGGAGGAGGAGGAGGAGGAGGAGGAGGAGGGGGAGGAGGAGGAGGAGGAGGAGCAGCAGGCCTCGTGGGCGCCTCTTGGGGCACTCATGGGGCCTCCTGGAGGCTTCCTGGGGGCCTCTCGGAGGGTTTTGGGGGGGCCTTTGGGGGGCTTCTCGGGGGCCTCTTTGGCAGTCTTGGGGCGTTCTTGGCTCGTCTGGCGCCGTCGGGAGCCGTCTTGGGGGCTGTCTGGGTCGTCTTCGGGGCCCCCTTGGGGGCACATCAGGGGCTCTCAGAGGCCATCCTGGGCGTATACTGGAGGCCTCTTGGGCCGCTTGGGGGCCCTCTTGGGGCCGTCTTGGGGGCCGTCTTGGGCCGTCGTGGGGCCATCTTGGAGGCGTGGCGGGCGATCTTGGGGGCCTCGTGCGACGTCTTGAGCCGTCGGAAGGCCGAGAGGAAGCAAATGCCCAAATCTTTCAAAAACTTTAGGATAGTCATTGATGTTGGCCTCGTCGTGCCCTCCTGGAGGACCTCCTGGACGCCTTGTGGGCCTTCTTGGAGGCCTTTAGGCCATCTCAGGCCATCTTTAGGCCATCTCAGGCTGCCTTGGGTGCATCTTGGGCCTTGGAGGCATCTTGGGGCCTCTTGGGGCCGTCTTGGGAGCATCTTGGGCCGTGTTGGGGCCGTCTTGGAGGCGTCGTGGGCGATCTTGGGGGCCTCTTGGGCCGTCGGAAGGCCGAAAAGGCGCAAATGCCAAAATCCTTCAAAAGCCTGAGGAAGATCAATGAGTTGTGCCTCTTCGGGCCTTCCTGGAGGACCTCTTGGAGGCCTCTTGGACCGTCTTGGAGGCCTCTTGGGGGCCTCTTGGGCCGTCTTAGGCCATCTTTAGGTTATCTCAGGCCATCTTTAGGCCATCTCAGGCCGTCTTGGGTGTATCTTGGGCCGTCTTGGAGGCATCTTGGGGCCATCTTAGCCGTCTTGGAGTCCATCTTGGGCGTCTTGGGCGTCTTGGAGGCCTCTGGGGCCGTCTTGGGGCCCTCTTGGGGCCGTCTTGGGGGCCTTTTGGGCCGTCATGGGGCCATCTTGGAGGCCTCTTGGGCGATCTTGGGGCGATTTTGCTTCTTGGGCCGCCGGAAGGCCGAAAAGGCGCAAATGCCAATATCCTTCAAAAACCTAAGGAAAATCAATGAGTTGTGCCTCTTCGGGCCTTCCTGTAGGACCTCTTGGAGGCCTCTTGGGCTGCCTTGGAGACCTCTTAGGGGGCTCTTGGGCCGTCTTGGGCCATGTAAGGGCCATCTTAGCTGTCTTGGAGGCCATCTTGGCCGTCTTGTGCGATCTTGGAGGCCATCTTGGGCCGTCTTGGAGCCGTCTAGAGCAGGAAAACCCCTTGGCAACCACCTCTGGAAGATCTTTCCGGGTGGCCGGCGGGACGGGCCGAAGCCCCAGGGTGAGTTTTCTCCCCACCCTCCTATGGTTGGGTACTCGTTTTGAATAGAGCAGTGTGGTCGCCCCGGCCTCCTTCTTCTCCTCCCCTCTCCTCCCCTCCTCCTCTCCTGTCTCCTGTGTTCCCCTCTCCTCGTCTCTCGTGCCGTCGGGCTGCGATCTGCGCAACTGTCGCCACTTTCGTGGGCTCCTGGGAGGTCCAGCGGAGGTACGTCCCACGCGGACCACCTCGAGACCTCGCGGTGCCCTGGGGGCTGCGAACTGCCACATTGTCGCCACTTTCGTGGGCTCCTGGCAGGCCCAGCGGAGGTACGTCCAACGCGGATCACCTCGAGACCTCGCGGTGCCCTGGGGGCTGCGATCTGCGCAACTGTCGCCACGTTCGTGGGTTCCTGGGAGGCCCAGCGGAGGTACGTCCAACGCGGACCACCTCGAGACCTCGCGGTGCCCTGGGGGCTGCGATCTGCGCAATTGTCGCCATTTTCGTGGGTTCCTGGGAGGCCCAGCGGAGGTACGTCCCACGCGGATCACCTCGAGACCTCGCGGTGCCCTGGGGGGCTGCGATCTGCGCAACTGTCGCCACTTTCGTGGGCTCTTGGGAGGCCCAGCGGAAGTACGTCTTACGCGTTGCCGCTGCTCCTGTTGGTTGCTGCGCTCTTCTGATTTCGCTGCTGGGTGCTCGTCTTGCGCACTGCGGGTTTTTCAGCATGCCCGTCAGCATGGAGTGGTCCTGAGTGTAATCGCCACATGTATAGAAAGGGTTGGGTACGTCGCGGGGTAACGCATTGGAAAAAGAACCAACACCAAAACCGAAAGGGGTCAGAACGCTGGGCACCCCTGAGGCAAGCCAACAGGGGGCGGCGGATCGAAGACGCCTACGGCGAATCACCGCCGCCCCCCTTTTTGGAAGCGCCTATGTGGCCGAACGTTGAGGCCAGACCTGCCAAGCTATCGGACCATGTGTTCCCCGAGGAAAGCCTTCGGGGAACACGTGGGCATCTTGAAGGTCATCTTGGCCGCCTGGAGGCCATATTGACCCTTTCGGGCCTTCTTGGAGGACGTCTTGGAGGGCTCTTGGGCCGTCTTGGAGGCCATCCTGGGCGTCATAAAAGCCTCCTGGGCCGTCTTCGGGGCCTCTTGGGCCGTTCTGGGGCCATCTTAGAGGCCTCTTGGGCGATCCTTGGGCGATCTTTGGGGGCTCTTGGGCCGTCGGAAGGCCGAAACGAAGCAAATGTCAAAATCTGTCGAACACCTATGGGAAAGAACTGTTTTTGCCTTCCTGGAGGCTCTCTTGGAGGCCTCTTGAGCCGTCTTGGGCCAGCTTCGAGCCAACTTCGGCCATCTTGGTGGGCTCCTGGCCCGTCTGACGCCATCGGAAGCCGTTTGGGGGACCTTTCTGGGCCGACTTGGGTCCCTCTTGGGGTGCTCCAGGGCTGTCTTCGAGGCCATCTTGGGCGTATTGGAGCCCTCTTGGACCGTCTTGGAGCCCTTTTGGCGCCCTCTTGGGGGCCTCTTGGGTGCCTCTTGGGCCATCTTGGAGGCCTCTTGGGCGATCTTGGGGGCCTTTTGGGCTGTCTGGGGCCGTCGGAAAGCCGGAAAGGCGGAAATGCCAAAATCTATGAAACACTTAGGGAATATGAATGATGTTGGCCTCTTCGGGCCTTCCTGGAGGACCTCTTGGAGGCCTCTTGGGCCGTCTTGGAGGCCTCTTCGGGGCCTCCTGGGCCGTCTTGGGCCAGCTTGAGGCCATCTTAGGCCGTCTTGGGTGCATCTTGGGCCGTCATGGAGGCATCTTGGGGCCATCTTAGCCGTCTTGGAGGCCATCTTAGCCGTCGTGTAGGCCATCTTGGCCGTCTTGGAAGCATCTTGGAGGCCATCTTGGGCCATCTTGGAGCCGTCTGGGGCAGGAGGACCCACGGCAACCACCTCCAGAAGAGGCTGGAAGAGCCTCCCGGGACCCCGGCGGGACGCGCCGAAGGCCTAGGGGGAGTTCTTTTGGAAAAAGAGCCAAAACCAAAGCCGAGAGGGCCTAGCACGCCAGGCACCCCTGTGATGAATCGACATGGGGCGGCGGATACAATGGCCGACGGTCCATCCCGCCGCCGTGCTTGGATTGTGGGTCAGAGTCCACAGGGATGTTTCCTGGGGTCTCTTCGGAGAGGAAAAAACACACAGACACAATGAATTGCCGTTTCCCCAGACAATCTGGGGAAATATGGGAAGCGGGGGGGAAGACAAAAACCAAGAAAATATATGAACATATGGCGAATCCTGTTATTTGTGTCTGTTTATTTGTGTGTCCCAGGGCCCCTTCGTTCTCTTCGGAGCACTCTCGGGGACCGTTTCGGGACAGTTCTGGGGCTGTTTGGGGGCCTTCTTGGAGGCCTCTTGGGGCGATCTCTGGGGCCTCTTGGGCCCTCTGGGGCTGCTCTGGGGCTGTTCTCGGGCTGTTCTGGGGCCTCTTGGGCCCTCTGGGGCTGTCTTGGGGCCTTCTTGGAGGCCTCTTGGGCCGTCTTGGAGCGTCGGCAAGCCGAAAGGGCGAGAACGCCCAAATCCTTCAATAACCTAAAGAGGATACATGATGTTTGCTTCTGGGGCCCTCTTGGGGGGCCTCTTGGAGGCTTCTGGGGGCGTCTTGGGGGCATCTGGGGCAGTCTTTAGACCGTCTTGGGCGTCTTGGGTCCATCGTTCAGCGACTCGGGATCCTCTTGGATAGGCTTTGGGGCCCTCTTGGCCCGTCTTGGAGCCTTCTTGGGGCCGGAAACGCTTTGCGACAAGGCGCGGGGAGCCCCGGAAGATTTGAGAATTCGGGGTCCGAGCCCCTGAAAGAGCTCGCAGGATTCAGGACCTGGGATCCTGGGAGTATGCCAAGGGTCTGAGGGCACTCCAACACGGGCCTCAAGGGCACGGTGGCGGACATATACGGTAGGTTCGTGTCGTGTCGACCAGCGGCGACCCCGCCGCCGGAGTTCAACGTTGAACGCCGACGGCGACCCAGAATCGATCGATGTTCAACGATGTGGCGTTTCGGAAACGGCCGATCGTTCAAGGTTGAACGATTCTCGCGGTGTCAAGAACCATCGCCTGGGTACGCATCCCTTCGACCAACAAAGTCGTGGAAGCATTGGACGCCTTCGGTGCTGCAGCAAGGCCGGAGGCCCCGCGAGGGGCCCGATCTCGCCCCCCCTCTCCGCCGCTCCTGCCATCACGGCCCTCTGGCAAAGCAGTCGGGCGGTTGAGGAGGTGACTCACCACCGTGCACCTCCTCCTCCTCCTCCTCCCCCTCCTCCTCCTCCCCCTCACCCCCTCCTCCCCCTCCTCCTCCTCCTCTTCCTCCTCCTCCACCTCCTCCTCCTCCTCCTCCTCCTCCTCCTCCTCCTCCTCCCCTTCGCCCAGATGCGGGCCCCGCGGCCCTCACAGATCGATCCGGCACCTCTCGGAGAACCTTGGGAAATGAATGCGTCTCTTCGACCCCCCGTGGGCGAGGTCTACTTCAAGTCCAGCTTCTCGCGCTTCCCGCGCGACCCCGTCAACGGCTTCTCCGACGAGAAGGCGCGGCGGATGGGCAGGGACTGCATCGTCTGGAAGACGTTTGACGACGGCACCTTCACGGCGCGGCTGCTCGTCGTCGTCGTCGTCGTGTTCCTCTTTTTCCTCCTCCTCCTCCGTCCTCCTCCTCCTCCTCCGTCCTTCTCCGTCCTCCTCCTCCATCTCCCTCCTCCTCTTTCTCCTCCTCCTCCTCCTCCTCCTCCTCCCGCCTCCTCTCCTCCTCCTCCTCCTCCTCCTCCCCCCATCCCTCCCTTCTCCTTATGGACAACCCCTCCCTGTCGCAGCCCGAGGCCAGTCGACAGAGCGGGCCGGGCCTTTCGCCTGAGACTTTCCCCAATGTTTCTGATCCTGAGGTTTGGAACTTGCAAGGGCTTCACGAATGGAGTCAGAGCCCCGAACCATCAGGGGTAGCTCGGGTCAGGGTTAACTCGGGTTCGTTTTTCGGGAATCCGAGCCCGAGTTATCCCAGACCCGAGTTGCCCCGGATATTTCGGGCGTCCAGAGCCCCGAATCATCAGGGGTAACTCGGGTCAGGGCTAACTCGGGTTCCTTTTTCGGGAACCCAAACCCGAGTTACCCCGGACCCGAGTTACCCCGGATAACTCGGGCGCCCAAAATGGAGGGCGGCCCGTTTTCAAAATACGGTCCTCGCCTGAGCTTCGCGCCTATTCATTTTCAGAACTTGCAGGAGCTTCACGGATGCATGAGGGCCCGTCTTCAAAGTGCGGCTCGCGACCTAGCTCCGCGCACGTTCGCCCCTGTCTAAAAATGTGGTTCTCCCCTCAGTTCCGCATTCGCTGCAAGAGTTTGCAGCAGTGCCCAGGATTCTCATGGCGAACGTCCCAGAAATGGTATTTGTTGGCCTGTTGTCGGAATGTCAGGGCGCAACACTCATGTGGATTCGCGGTGTTGAAGGTCCAGCAATGGCTTCCCCAAGTGCGACTCAGGATCGTCAAGACGCAACAGTATCGGTGATTCGCGGGTCAGATGTCCCAGGACTGGCGCTCTGGCACGTTTCTGGGTTTTCGAACGGTTGTCTTCCAATCGGATATCGTTGAAAACGAATCCGTGGATGGGACTTAGCGGCATGGGAACTTGGAAAGGTCTATTGTAATATCCTTGATGTTTCGGGTTTGCACTGGTCCTTCTACTCCTCCTCCTCCTCCTCCTCCTCCCCCTCCTCCTCCTCCTCCTCCTGCTCCTCCCCTCCTCCTCCATCCTTCCACGGCACCTACTCCTACTCCTAGACAATCAGGTGCTCTAACTGGACTGAGCTCACTCCTCCTCCTCCTACCTCCTCCTCCTCCTCCTCCTCCTCCTCCTCCTCCTCTTCCTCCTCCTCCTCCTCCTCCTCCTCCTCCTCCTCCTATCCTCTGCCTCCTCCGCATCGTCGTCCTCCTCCTTATCATCCTGCTCCTCCCTGCTTCCTGGTTGGGGGCGCGCAGGCGCTCAGAGGCCCCCCCTCCCACACCGCTGCGGGCCAGACGCGAACGGAACAGTGTGGTGCAGGTGTCGCACCCGAGCAAAGGGTGAGCACGCACCCTAGGCACAAAAAACACCGAGCAGGGCTCTTTGGTCGCGGACGGGGGAAAAACACGAGGAGGGGAAGCAGTCAGGGGAGGAGGAGGAGGAGGAGGAGGAGGAGGAGGAGGAGGAGGAGGAAGAGGAGGAGGAGGAGGAGGAGGAGGAGGAGGAGGAGTGAATCTCTCCGCATTGGGAGAGGCTCCGCTTTGGGAGGAAAATGCTGTGCCTGCTGCTGCCCACCCACCCCACGGGCCACCCTGGGCTCAGGGCGCGCTGGGCGTGCAGGAGCAGATCGCCTGGTGGACAGCTCGATGAGAACACCAGGGGCCTACAAGGGGACGGAGACCACTGGCGGCCGCCCACGCACGCGGCAGGAGGCCACGGCAGCTGCATCGCAGCTGCATCTACGGGCCAGACGCATTCGCTTGAACGAGGCGGGCCAGGGCGCCCGCCCCCCCCCTTGGGAGGGGCCTTGGCACTCGCTGCGAGCGGACTGTGGGGCTCCTCCTCCGTTTCTACTTTCTCCCCCTCATTGTCACCATCTTACTGCTCTTCTTCCTCCCCCACGATTCTCCTTATCCTCCTTACCCCTGCCGCTGTCGTTGATGGCATCGGTGTCGGTTCCTTCCCCAGCCTCCTCCCTTCCTCCTCCTCCTCCTCCTCCTCCTCCCCTTGCTCCTGCTCCTCCTCCTCCTCCGCCTCCTCCTCCTCCTCCTCATCATCATCCTCCTGCTCCCTCCTCCTCCTCCTCCTCCGCCTCCTCCTCATCCTCCTCCTCTTCCTCCTCCTCCTCCTCCTTCTCGTCCTCCTCCTCCTCCCTCTTCCTTCGTCTCGTGGGGGGAAAGGTCCAATCACCCAGTCGCCCCTCGCTCCAAAGGTGCCCCCTCCCCCTGGGCCTGTGCCCTGGCTGGAATACCCGGGCGAACCTGGCCGCGGCGACGTTGGGGCGGGCGGCGCGGGGGGGCCAAACGCAGCAGGTATCGAGGATCCCAGATTCCCTCGCGGCTTTTTTGTTGCTCTCGGCTAGAAGCCGGTACCGGAGAGGCTCCCTCGCCCTCGCAGGCGCTCTTCGTGGACGGCAGCCAGATCGACTTCCCGTGCGAGAGCGTCGAGGGCTTCGACTTCCGGGGGTCCCACTACGTGGGCTAGGGGCCAGCGTGGCCCACCGAGCGCGGCGCTGCTCGGCGGAGCGCGCGCGGCGAGCTCTCTGCGCCGCCCTCGGGGCCTCCAGGAGAGGAGGAGCAGGAGGAGGAGGAGGAGGAGGAGGAGGAGGAGGAGGAGGAGGAGGAGGAGGGGAGGTGGAAGAGCAGTAAGTGGCGTGCAGTTGAGACGCGGAGGAGTTCGAATTGCGATTCGTCGACAGACCAGGAGTAAGCCGGAGGAGGAGGAGAGGAGGAGGAGGAGGAGAGAGGAGGAGGAGAAGAGGATGAGGAGGAGGAGGAGGGGGTCGGCACGGAAGAGGTCTATGAGGCGACCGGCGAGAAGGGGGAAGATGAGGAGGAGATGGTTGACGAGGGAGGAGCAAGTGTCGAGGAGGAGGAGGAGGAGAAGGAGGAGGAGGAGGACGCCCAGGGGGAGGACGTCGAGAATGAGAAGGAGGTGGAGCGTCGACGGAGAAATGAGGCTCAGGCCGGCTTTTCGCGCGCCAGGGCGCGCCATCAGCGCGCGCCCGCGGCGTGTCCCGGCACCGCTCGCACGGTGCAGCCGGCGGGGACAGGCCAGATCCGGTGGGATCCGTGCCCCCCCTCCTCCTCACTCCTCCTCCCCTCCTCCTTCCTCCTCCTCCACCTCCTCCCTCCCTCCATCCTCCTCCTCCTCCTCCTCACTTCCTTTTTCACAGCACGCGCAGAGGGGGAGTAGGGTGGAGGGGGGAAGCCTTCTTCGAAGGAGGCCTGCTCTTAGAAGGCTAGCCCTCCCTCCCCCAGAGCCCCCTCTGCGCGCCGCCAACTTCTCCACCTCCCACCTCCTCGCTCCTCCTCCCTCCTCCTCCCTCCTCCCCTCCTACCTCCTCCTCCTCCTCTACTCCTCCTCCTCCACCTCCTCTCTCCTCCTCCTCCTCCTCCTCCACCTCCACTTTCTCCCTATCCTCCTCCTCCTCCTCCTCCCCTCCTCCCTCTCCCGTAATCCTTACTCTCTGCTCCCTCCTCCCCAATCCCCTCCCCTTCCCTCCTCCTCCCTCCTCCTTCTCCTCCTCCTCCTCCTCCTCCTCCTTCTCCTCTTCCTCCTCCTCCAGTATTTCTTTTCCCTAAAAATAGTTTCCCCCTGCCGCACCCCGAGGCCAGGTTTTAGGGCGGGCCGGGCGTTTCGCCTCAGACTTCCTCACCACTTAGACCCTGAAGCTAAAACATTGGCAACAGTTTCACAGATGATTGGGCGGGCCGTCTTCAAAATGTGTCTCTCGCTTCAGCGCCGCGCACATTCGTTTTAAACATGTGTGCGAGTTTTCACGTACAAGATGCAAGAGGTTCACGGATTCCCATGATGAGCGTACCAGATATAGTGTTTTGGAAGGGTTCAGGATTCTGAGGGCGCCACAGGAACGTTCATTCGCGGTGCTGAAGTCCCAGGAATGGCGTTCTGGCACCGTTCAGGATCGTCAAGACGCAACAGTCAGGTTGATCCGTGAGCAATGCTTTGGCATGCTTCAGGGCCTTCAAACGGTTGTCTTCCAACGAGGCAGTTCCCTCAGTGGTAATGAACCGCTGCAGGGGCATATGAAGAGGGAGCTTGGAGGGAGGGGTTATTCCAACATCGCTGATGACTCTTGGGTTTACACTGGTCCTCCTCTTCTTCCTCCTCCACCTGCCTGCCTGCCTTCTTGCCTGCCTGCCTGCCTGCCTGCCTGCCTGCCTTCCTGCCTGCCTCGTCCTCCTTTCTCGTGCTCCTCTCCTCCTCCTCCTCCTCCTCCTCCTCATGCCTCCTCCTCTTCCTGCCTCCTCCTCTCCTCCTCATTCCTCCTCCTCCTCCTCTGCCTCCTCCTTCTCCTCCTCCCTCCGCCTCCTCCTCCCCTCCCCATACCTCCTCCGTCCCCCCCCCCCGCTCCCCCCATCCACCCGCGTTCCCCCTCCCCCCCTCCGGCTCGTTTTTCCTCCTCTTCCTCCTCTTCCTTCACACTCCTTCTTCCCTTCCAACCCTCCTCCTCCGCCTCCTCCTCCTCCTCCTCCTCCTCCTCCTCCTCCCCCCCCTCCTCCACGCTCCCTCCTCCTCCTCTCCTCCTCCTCCTCCTTTTCTCCTCCTCCACCCTCCTTTTTCCTCCTCCTCCTTTTCCTCCTCCTCCTCCTCCTTTTCCTTCTCCTCCTCCTCCTCCTCCTTCTCTTCGTCTTCCTCCCCTTTTTCTCCACCCATGTTCCTCAGAAGTACTTCGTCCCTGTCACACCCCCAGGCGTGTTGGTGAGGCGGGCATGGATTTCGCCTGAACCCCCTTCGCCAGCTATGGCCCTGAAGCTTGGCATTTCCAACACAGTCACATCTTGAGGGGGTCCTTGTCACAACATGGTGATCGCCGGAGCGCCGCGCACTTTCGCAAGCTCGCAGCAGTTTCACGGATGAAGGGCGGGCCGTTTTCAAACATGTGGTTCCGTTCTAGCGCTAGGGCCGCCCGAATGATTTCATATTGTAGCAACAGAGATTAGTAACCCAGCTGTCGTTTAGGGTAGTGCGGCGCTAGTGGACTTAACTTTAAAGCGTACTCTATTGCGCAACTGACGAAACCATAAGCGAACAGATTCAGAACCCCGCAATGTACGAACATCAGTTTCGATGGTTTCCATCATATCTTGGCAAGCCTACACGGCACGCGGTAGGATATGGAAACGCAGCTGCCGTATCGCGTCTAGCTGTGCGCAAACGCTTCGTTTTTTGTTCAACTCCGCTACCCACGCCCGACGGCTTATGACCAGGTGGGATTCCATGCAGATGATGACCGTGCGAAGGATCCCACACACACGATACCGACGAATACGAGGACCGACTGTTGGAGGGGATAGCACTTACACGCCCGACCGCGGTTCGGATCGTTGGCGTGCCTCGTGACGGACGGCGGAGGGGTGTCCGCGGGGGCTAGCATGTTCAGAGGGCAACAACATATGTACATGTACGCGGTTCGTTTTCGTGGAATTGCGTTTGAGCGTGGAGGTTCGTGCACGCAAGACCGCGGAGGGCGTACATGTACACATGTCGTTGCTCGCTCACATGTGCCCAGGCGCGCTTTGCCTCCCCCCCCTTGGGGCGGGGGCCAGAGAGAAACTACGCAGGTCACCTGGCTGCCCCCGCCCCCCTTTTCCAAGAGAGAGGCCATGCTGGGAGGGGGGTGATGGCGGAGCGGAGGAGGGGGCATGCATGCGCGCCCGCTTCCTCGAGCAGCGGCCTGCGCAGCAGGTTTCCGAGCCTGCCAAGGAGGTTTTCGACACCGTCCAAAGCCGTTCGGTTGACAAGGTGTTGCCAGCTTACGACGTGAAGCACTACATGTCCTCCAGCGCCATGCGGTCGGGCATGGATGCGTTTGACAGTTGGTACGCAGTGGAGACGAGCATGTTGATCGATATTCCGTGTCTCGGGGTTACGCGCGGTAGCGAAGCCGAGCGGCGAATTATCGAGGCCGCCCTTGATATGGCGGATCCGCAGAATGTCTGCGTCAGCTTGGTGCTCAGGGTCTGGCGGCAGATGCATGGGATCGCACCCGCCATGGACAAGCAGCGCTGGAGGTGGGCGGGGGGGCCGCTGCGGAGCTGCAGGAGCGCCGGAACGCGGTCGTTACGAGGTGCCGTTCGACGAGGCCGTGGTCGGCATCGCCCAGGCGACGGTTTCGGACTTCGCCAAATACGCTCTCGCCGATGCGAAGACAACCAGGTTGTCCGGCGTCACCACGGACACCGCCGTCGCGCAGCTGGCCGCCTGGATGGATCAGCTGGTCCAATCGCGCTAAAATCACGTCGGGTGACGTGCTCGCCATGGCGACGCGCCCCCTGATGGTCAGCGATATCCTGGCGGGCCCCGCAGGGCTGATCACGGTCTGGCATGGGATGTCTGCTCGCCTTTCTTGACGACGCTGCTTTCCGCGAGGGCTTGCGCGGGCTTTTCCACCCGCCCCAAACCCCCGCCCACGTCGTTCGCATTGAGTGCGCAAGGCGCTTGGCGTTGCAATTTTGGCTTTGCACCCATGGGCCACTCGGAGTTGGCAGTTGAGGGGCCGATGGGGTTACTGATGGTTGCGATGGTGGTCGTGAGCACGATGAGATCGATGGCGATGTCTGTGATGGTGGCGCGGCGAAGGTGATTGCGGCGATGAGTATGCTTGTGATGATGAGGGCGCCGACGGGGCTGATGGGGATGAGGATGCGCATGATGATGACGGGAATGCGATGCTGATGGCGGTGATGATGGCGACGCGGGTGCTCGTGATGATGATGGTGCGCATGCTCGCCGCGGCCGTGGGGATCCAGGCCATGTAATGTCCAGCAAGTGCAGCGCGCTCCTGTCCACCGAGCTCAAAGACTCGCACGCGGCAGCCCTGATGCACAGAACTTGCCCACTGGCGGCGTCTAGAAGTCCTTGGGCGCCCGCCTGGGCGACAGCGACTTCGGCGCTGCCGACTACCCCCACACGCAGCTTGCACATGATTTCGCGAACGCGCTTCGCTCCTTTTTCATGTTCCTGTCAGCGATGGCTCGGGAGGACCAAGCAGGCGTTGGTGCGTTTGCCCACGCGGACGCGGTGCTCTGGAAAACATTGCAACGAAATTTGAAGGGGGGCCGACCAACGCCATCCCCGGCGCCGCCACTCTCGACGCCGCGATGGACAGCGACGCCCGCGCAGCAGCTCTGACCGCAATTGCACGGTCTTGCGACGCGATGCAGCAGGCCGAGGAGACCATCCATGTTATGGATGAGTTCGCTGCGTGTGTTCGAGTACGATACCACTCTCCACTCGGTTGGTCTCGACTCCATCGGGCAACGCAGGGCGCGCCTGAGCGCGAAGAAGCGGACCGCGATGCAGGGTCGCCGGGTAGTCTTGGCGGAGCACGTGGAGAAGGCCGCAAACAATTTCATCAATCATGACGGGATGCCGGTCGACATTGCCATTTGGACAGCGAGTTCGTCGGGCGATGCGATCTTCGACGCGTCCTCGATCCGCGAAGCAGGTTGACGGAACGGGTAGAGGGAGCGATGGGATGGGGGGGGGGTCGGGGCCTCAAACTCACGAGAGTGATGGTGTGGCAGAACAATCAGGGGCGAGAGGGGCGAGGTGGAGGGCGGCGACGCCCTTGAGCAGTATGGCCAGGGGGTCGGCGAGGCGGGCTCAAGTTATTCTTAGGCTTACGCCACACCGCCGACCCCTTGTTTTTATGCACGGCACACCCAGTAGAAAGCTGCGGGTGCGCGCGAGGTGCCGGCGATCGGCGGGTTGGGCGAGGTGGGCGGCGAGGGGGGCCGAAAAGGCGAAGGCGGGCGATGGAGGCGGTCGGGGCGATCGGCGGGGTATAGCGTGGGGGGACGAGGAGGAGGTTCGGGGGTCGACAGGGGGGAGAGGAGGCGGCGGGACGGTGCGAAGGGGTGAAAAGGCGAGTGATATTTGTTTGGTGACTGTTCGCCGCCACCGCCAGAGGGTCTCGGGCAGTTCCGCGGGGGGGTCCGAGCGGACGGCGACACCGCGAGTTTTGGAGCCACTTGGGGGCCGTTTCGGAGCCTTTGGGGTGCTTCTTGGGGGTTCCTTGGGGCGTCTGGGCGGCCTCGTGAGGGCCTCTGGGGGCCTCTTGGGGCACTCTTGTGGCCCCCTGGGGC